TTTCCCTCTCTCTGACAAGTGGACCGGCTGCTGTGGGGTGCCCCCGGTATCAGGTGCAAGCACAGATGATTTCTGCTGAGCTGGTTCATCATGCACCCTTCGTCATCTGTTAAGCAGCGCTGTTTGAGAGTTTGCCTCCCTATGAGCATCTCATACTTTGATAGGGGTGCCTCACATGACATCAGATGCAATCATTCTGAATTGCTTTCTCGGTTAGTTCTCTGCTTTGCTGTAGCAAGAGAGACCCCTGAATTAAAATCTTCACTCTGTGGTATTCACGGTCCCCATAATGAATCTTTACAGGCTTGATGACTGGGGAGCGCTTTCAGCAGAGCAGCCTGGTGCTTGCTCTGCTAAGTCCATTTCATGAGGGCGGCCAGGTGCATTTTGCAGGCAGGCAGAATCAGTTACAATGGGTTATTGGCATACCTGGAAATAGTGAGTGCTGTGTTTTGTATGAAAAATAAGAGAAATGTTGGAGTCAGTTTTCGGGAAGAAAAGAAAGAGGCCAAATACATAGGTATTTAGTTTATACATTCTCTAGGTATAGAGAGGGGTTTACTTTGGAAGAAAATCAACTACAGTTTCTTCACAGGGGAAGTGAAAAACCTGTGCAGGAGACACCACCATTGAAGGTTTAGTGGCCGTGCATGTTTGCTGCATGTAAGCCTGTGCTCGGTCCCTGGAGAGAGCCTTGCCCGGTCTCACTGTGCTGGCCCTGTGCCCATGAGGCTGCCCATGCCCAGCCTGTCAGAGGGCCCTAATTGAGGCGTATCAATGAATCTGGGTTTGGTTTGGTTTTTTTCTTTTACAAGAAGGAAAGAAGAAAATCAATATGCTTTTTTCTTGCTTTATTCACTCAGCCATAATTTTCCCCTCTTAAGCTGGCTGGGCCCTCTGTTCCTCTATCTCTGCCTGCTTCCCAAGAGCACTTGTTTTTTCAGCCTATTTATCAATAAATAAAGATGTCACTATTCCCTCGCCTGTCTCTAGAATACCTTTTATTTTGAAATTAATGGATCTTTTCTCAGCCTGGGGTTCCCACAACTCTGCGCTTTGCATTCGCCAAAGAGTGGTCCCAAACAGACCGTCACGGGGGATTATTTGGGGCATTTACTGCTGCTTGGAAAGTCAGGAGCGAGTGATCAACTACCGCTTGGGCAAACATTTTCTCTGGCATCGAAACCTATGCAAGAAGGTTTTTACCTCGCTTGTTTCAGTGATCCGGTTTACAATGGCACCACTCGAGCAGTGATGTTGGCAGGGCTTGGGCAGGAGGTGGAGGATAGCTCAGCACAAGCAAAGCAGGAGCTTCAAGAGCTGGTTTCACCATGTGAAAAACTCATCTAGCTGCATCTTCTGAGAGAGATTTCAATGTGCCATTTAGCAGGATGCCTCTGGGCTCTATAGCAGAGCTGTGGTAAAGTCACACTGACTTGTTCAAAAATTACAAGTGAAATACTTCACAGATCAGTTAAAGTCACTCATTTTGCCCTAGCATCTAGGTCCCACATTATCTTGCTGCAGCAGTAGAGTGCGCAAGTTACTAATAGCAACGCCATGTAATGTTCACACGATTTGATGATTAACATCTCTGATAAAGCAAAATCTTAGGAAATGTAGCGAAATGCCTGTTGGTATTTCATTAGTCCGTATCAGTTTGGACTACTTGCTGATTTGTTAATTGGTGTTCAACCTGTTCTTTGGTGAAATTCATACCAAAGACGAATGCGTAGGTCTGAGGATGACTTACTGTTCACTACAACATGGTCTTAAAAGTTGAAGTACATAGTGAAAAGATCTCCATTTGGATGGAGTTTTGAATCTTCACACAGACCTCTGGAGAATATGCCACAAGGCAGATGATTTTTATTCTTTACCAGAAATCTTGTTTTCTGCTTATTAAAGCTGAAATGTGGAAGCCAGAATCGATGGACCTCTTGCCTGAGGATGCTGACAGCCTCAGGACCATAGCTGCACTTCCTCCTCTCTTATTTTCAAAAATGAGGTCTTAGGGGAAGGGCTGGCAGGTTTCTTACACGGAGCCAAGATCGGGCTGGCTGCCTTTAAAAAATCTGAAGGAAATTCAGGAGCAGCAAGTTATTTTGCTCCATTTCCAACAGGTTAGTGGTTAGGGCGGTGGTACGCTTCTAACATTTAAGTGTTGTTTCAGCCAGCCCAAGTTTTGAACGGTGGTTTTGTGCTGAACATCACACACACCAAGTTTAGTCTTTGAACAAAAATATCTATGTATAAAATGTATGTTGCTGGGAACAGGGATCCCATTAACTCCAAAGAGAGCCTGCCCTGAGCAGGCTCCTTGCTCCCCAGGCACACACCAGTGGCATGGGAGCAAACTCCGCACTTGTGGCCACTGGGGAGGAGGACAGGGGAAAGCTGGGCAAACCTCGCTGGGGCTGCGTCCCGTGTGGTGCCTCTGGCCACAGTGCCCCTCAAAGCCACTTGCACGCCAGGGACAGTCCTACGCTTGCAGGGATGTTGTGGCTTTTGCTGTGTGAAGGCAGCAGGAGCTGACACACAGACATGATGAATCGCTCACTCCTGGGAGTAGGGCTTTTTGGTTTTGGTGTTTTTTTAATCTGGGATTATGTTTTGGTGTTTTATGAACCCAGGAAAAAAATCTGTAAAAACCAGGATTGCCTCTGCAAGCTGGTGTTGTGAGTATACAGCAGCTGAAGCCAGGACAGTGGTCTGATCCTGTGGCTTGGGTGTTCTTCTGTTGATGTTTTATAT